GTCCAGCAGGAGACAAAGGCACAGACTGATTACTGTCAAGTAACATACCTGTCCTCGTACTGACATAATAACATTACAACACACAAAGGTATTCAACTTTAGAAAAGGAAATTATTACAAAATCCTAAGTAGAATGAAAATTGAAAGTAAATATTTTAAAAAAAGAAAACAACCTGAGAGAAAAACTAGACATGACTTAAGTATATATTACTGAAAGCCAGGATAAAGGAACTCTAAGGATCAGAACACCAGGTACTCTAATACTCTGTGGGATAAAATAACAGCATGGTTAATTAGCAAAGGTCAGGAAGGGTATCAAGGAGAGCTAACTAAATATCAGAGATTAAGTGGAGATACGAAAAGGCAAGAAAGGTTCAAGGCCCAGGGTCCAGGATCCCGCAGGCCAACAATGATTCCTTGGTGTTCTTAATGAGGAGCCACCCGTGAAAAAAGTGGGACTACCTGATGTTTGAAAACAGAGGTGGGTCGGGGGGGGGCAGCTCAAAAATGGAAAAGAGGAGTTCAGAGGCAGGAAAGTCTGCCTCAGTTATTCCCAGGGAGGATGGTCAGGGCAGTCCCACTCCTACGCCACGCCCTAAACTGGACAGGAATCACTGCACTAGGTCAAATAGAAAGAGCTCAGGCTATCCCAGGTCTAGAGGCAGATCAACTCCAGACTTAGATTTTAGGAAACGTGTACCAGATCTTCTGAGTTATGTCAAAGCTGTTATCACAGTGCCAGGATGAGAAGAGAGACTTATCACCAGCACAAGCCTCCCTAAGCAGAGGGCCCACGGCCACTCTAGCCCAGGAGTGTCCCATGTCCCAGTTAGACGTCTCTGCCTGCATTGTCATCCCACTTCCCCAATCAGGGCTCCTATGCCCTTAGTGCCACTGATCTGTGTATATAAATATTTTAGGAAAAAAGCAGTCTGTTTGTCCTGATATATTTTCATTTTAAAATAGCCTACACTAAATTGAATCTCCATGTGCCCCAATTTGAGTCAGTGGAGAAAGAATTTGGAGCCGGATAAGGCGTTTCCAAAAACCTGTTAAATTACACGAAGCGTGGGACACGGTTAGAAATGTAGAGAATTTGGTCACTGGCCACATTACCTCCCAGCTACACTGGTGGTTTGTACCGATTCTATGAAAGTAGATGGAAGCAGAGACCACTCAATAACAGGGTTCTGTTCCTGTGAAGAAAAAGGCTCAGCAACATGGTCTAGTTTAATGAAGATTAAGCATCTGTGATCTACTGGGCATGATACTGAATCCCTGGGAATACAGAAAGACAGGCATGTGGACAAAGACACACAGCACCATGTGCAGAGAACCGAGGCGCCACATAAGAGAAAGGACAGTGGTCTAAGGGAGGGATTTGTCTTATCTGGAAAGTCTGGGAACAATAAATAGGAGTCTGGATGGGGCAGTCAAACTAGAGGGCAACAGGAGTGTGAGCAGAGAAGGCCCTGCCTTACTAGGCTAAGGAGCTTGGAGTCTATCCTTTGAACAGTGGGGAACCAGTCAGATTTGTGATCCAGAAAGTTCACTTGGCAGCAATGTGACGAATATGTTGAAACAGGGCGAAACCAGTCAAGAGTACAGCTGAAGGCCAAGCAGGTAGGATACTGCTAGTTCCCATGATGTGTTAAGAGTTCAAAAGGAAGACAGAACTATTTGCATTACGGCCCTGCTCTGGGGGATAGCATTAAAAACACCTAACACTAAATACATCATGCTTCCCTTCTTTTTCTCGTTCAGCATCACCTTGCACTTCAAAATTTCCTGTCCTGCTTCACCTGCTTTCCACTGCCCGCAGAGCCCCGTGTTCATGGTGCCACAGGTGAAGATAGAGATGGAGTCAGACCGTGACTACACAGACACGGACAGATACAGAAGAGAAGCTGACGGCGAGACCATCCTGTAGGGGGACGCAGCTTCCCCCAGACAGGGCAGTGACAGCATGGTTTAAGTCTGCATTGTGAGCATCTGGGCCAAGACCCTTAACTTCTCTGAGGCTGTTTCCTTATTTACCAAACAGAGGGAGTCATTCCGCTTGATAGAAAACTGGAGATTGTTGATGAAAAAGTACTTATGTGCAAAGCTCTCCCCTGCCCTTTGTAGCTATGAAAATAACTAAAGATAAATGTTATACCTTATTTTAAAATGCAGTCCAGCATAGAAATTATAACATTTCTTTTGAAATGAAAAAATGCTTGCCTCCCAAAACTGTAGCTAAGGGGCCAATAGTCAAATTTTTATTTAAAATAAATTATCAGTTTTTTTTAAAGGTTAGATTTTAAAGTATCTAGATGATCTTGAAAGAACTATTAAAATACTTGTACTTCAATAGACCAAGTTTGGAAAAGTTGTTTTGCAGTTTTGCATGTTAAGAAATGCTTAGGGCTGGCCAGGTGGCTTAGCGGTTAACTGCGCGCGCTCCACTACTGGCGGCCCAGGTTCGGATCCTGGGCGCGCACCGACGCACTGCTTCTCCGGCCACGCTGAGGCCGCGTGGCACATACAGCAACTAGAAGGATGTGCAACTATGACGTACAACTATCTACTGGGGCTTTGGGGAAAAAAAAAAAAAGGAGGAGGATTGGCAATAGATGTTAGCTCAGAGCCGGTCTTCCTCAGCAAAAAGACAAGGATTAGCATGGATGTTAGCTCAGGGCTGATCTTCCTCACAAAAAAAAAAAAAAGAAAGAAATGCTTGAAAGGTCCTATCTTTCCTCTCCATCTCATTCAATTTCCTAAGGGTCGTATGAAAAGTTTGAACCATTTGCATTATGAACCTTCTCCAGCACAGAATTGTGGCTAGGGCTTTCCCAGATTGAAAAGCCAGTTCCAAACGTCTGTTGACAGACCCAACACATCTGAGTGGATAAATATTTTTAAAATAAAATAGTTCTTGTTAAAGTGAAATCTCAAACCACATGTTAAATTGACAAAATGATCCTTTAAGTGAGTATCACTGGTTTTTCATGCCCAGAATCAAATTTCTTTATGCATTCGAGTCAGTCCTTCCTGCACGTTTTCGATGGCCTGATTCCTGAAGTCAAACTCCCCTTCACATGAACATTGTATGTTAGGCAGAGCTAACATCAGATTTTGGAAGAATATAACTTTGCATTAGACTAGTACTTTAAAGGAATGATTGGAAGCAAGTTGGGTAGATTAAAACTTGTCAATAATGAAGCAAACCCTTTCCTCTTCAAAATTAACATCAGTCTATCTATCTTCAATCCATGTTTAATAAATGCCAGCCATGTTTATTTAATACCTACTATGTATCTGAAGCCACAATGCATCTGACATTCACCTTCTCCACAACAACTATGGATTTGAGTCTTGAGTAAATCACTTTACTCAAGATAACAAATGCAGGTGCTTCTACTTTAATTCCTTTCTATTTTTTAAAGACAGATGACAATCATTAATCCCTTGAGTACCGGGATGGTTAATTGCCTCTGTGACCGCTCCCCCCCCCCCCCCCAGCCTAGTCCAGTGCCTGGTCCATAGAAAGTTCTCAATAAGTGTTTGTTTATTAAATCGCAGAGCTCCCTTCCAAGGGATACTGCCAAGAGGTAAAGCTCCAAACCTCTCCCACTTCTGAGTGCAGCAGAATTACTTAGCTGCTCAATAATCCAGAACCATCACCTGAGTTGATAAAGTCTTTGTCCTCATCTGCACCAATCCCGAGAGCTAACAATCCACCTTTAACATTTCACTTGTAAAACTTGGCTCATTTCCAATAGCACTTTGTCCAAATTAAACTGTAGAAATGTTATGGAGTCAGGAGTAAATGCGCTGGATTAATCAAACAAACTGGAACACTATGATGTTAATTTTTGTTGTTGTTGTAAATTGATCACTGTAATTTTCACTTTATATGTCATTTATATTTTGTATATACATGAACATTTTAATTTTGACAGCTTTTTTTCTTTTAAACTTTATTTCTTTTCCCCCCAAAGCCCCAGTAGATAGTTGTATGTCATAGTTGCACATCCCTCTAGTTGCTGTATGTGGGACTCGGCCTCAGCATGGCCGGAGAAACGGTGTGTAGGTGCGCGCTCGGGATCTGAACCCGGGCTGCCAGCAGCGGAGCGCGTGCACTTAACCACTAAGCCACGGGGCCGGCCCTCGACAGCTTTTAACAGGTTGACATATTGTTACTTCTCCATGCAGTGAGTCAGTACTTTTTTCCACTTGTACCTACAATTCAATACAACGTAATCCTGTCTGCTCATCTTGTTCCATGTTTAATAATTGAGGTGAGTCAGCAGGCATGGCTTATGGACGCGAGCTAGACCTCATTTACAAAAACATCTCCGGCAAATGATCATCTTTCACCTCCAGAAAACTATTAAAAGAATAAAGGCAGCTGGCAGAGGAACAAGGAGTAGGGCAGCTCCCATTGTTCTCCTTTCTCCTTCTGCCTCAAGCTGCCTGGAGCAGGAGGTGCTTCTGCCCGCCTAACGCCAAAATAGCCCGCCCTGGTGGAGGATACACAAGGCCTATCCTAGCCTCAAAATGTGCACAGCAAATACCCTCCAACCTGTCAAATCAAACACACACACGGAAAAAAAATTATATAGATGTATATATAGATATATATAGAGAGAGAGAGAGAGAGCAAAAAAGAAAACTTGGCAAGCATGTCAAGAAGTCTTTTGTAATTTGAACAATGTGTAAATTGAACGCATGGCTTAGAAAATACTCAGAACAATTTAGAAAACACCAAGAACAAGACTAACCACTTAAATGAATCTGAAAGATTAAGCTCCTGGCTTGGCACAACCTGCTGAGATGTAAGACTAAAAGGATTAGGCTGGTTTCTTCACAGCTCTTTAAACCAGTTTGTTTAAGGCACAGGATTGGGTGTTACCAAATTTAGGAATATCCAGATGGATTACATCCAATGAGAAAAATCAACCACGGTTAAGTCACAACTAAGGCATAGCAGGAAGATACAGTATTTCAGAAACTCATTCCACACTAGTCAGAAGTGTTTTATTTAAAAAAACAAAACAAACTAAAAAACACTTTAATCAGAAAGTCTGATTAAATTCAGTATTAACTCAAGCTCTCAAAAACCTAGCAAGGGAAAGCCAACAGGTGCGTCAGAGAAAAGCAGGCAGCTGCTGACAATTCTTTGGTGGAAAAGTAAGTTGCATACTTGTATCCAGGCTGCCCTAACGATTATCAAACCCACGTTTTTTTTTTCAAAAACAGGTTTCAAGATATATCAAAGAAACCATACAGACACTCCCAACAGTACAAAAATTGAACAATGAAGTTTAAGCATATAGGAAAAGCCAAGTATGACAAAACACACAAATAATTTATGAAATAAGCCTTTCAATCCTAGAAAACTAAAATGGGGAGACCTCATGAATGGTATAAAAGGAGGGCTAACAGCACCTGGAACAACCCTAAACATTGCCTGACTAAGCCACAAAATGACAGCTTAGGATACTATTAACATGTTGTTTTTCTTCTGGTTATCAGTCAATACATATATAAACTAGGGTAATTTTTTTCTACTCAATTACCATCATTTCTTCTCGTTTACCCTTCCCCTAATTTTCTCTGGCAACATTTTTCCTTTGGTCTGACCAGGTAAACTCAAAAGGTTTGGAACCTAAAATGAGCATCAACTCTTATTGGAATAGCACTTGGGAAATGCAATCCTAGAAAAGGCAAATTTTAACGCAAGTGGCTTGACAACGTGAAGCAGCCATTCTCAATGTGACGATGTCCCCTATGTTAAATGGCTTCTCGTGGCTAGATCACATGACCCAGCATGACACTGGTGTGCTCCCTGGTGAGGTACTGCAGAGTTATGTGCATAAACACCCATCCATTTAAGCTTTCAATAAATACAAAGCATCATTTTAAACCATTTCAGTAACATAAATAAAAAATACTGCATTTCTATTGGCCTGTGGTTGCCTCTTGAACTGGCTTGGAGTGCTGTTCATGACATAGAAGACACAACAGTTAATTAGTCGCCACTCCGAGCTCCTTAGACTTCAGTACTTCTCGCTCTTCAGGCCTCAGCACTTTTTTGGCAGCAATAATGGTATTTTTCATTAGCATCGCCACTGTCATGGGACCAACACCCCCAGGGACTGGAGTGATGTGACCAGCTTTCTTCCTGACTCCTGCACAGAAGTATGACAGGCAGACCGCTTCAATTATGGCAAAGAAATGTACATGTTTTAACATATCATGGAAAAAGCATTCAAAGAAAAAGCAGTAATATACGTAAGCACCTTCATAAGTCTCAAACTCATTAAAAAAATCACATCTACATTACTCAAAAGAAAAGGTTTTTGAACATACCAATAAAATAATATGCACATAATAAGTAGTTGTTCAATCAATATTTATACACCTAAATAACCTATAATTTATCAGTCAAATTTTCCTCCATATTAAATCAACTTAAAAAGAAACATCTCAGTAGGTTAACTGTGTGGGAGGGGTAACTATAATATTAATAAGCATCACCTCAATTAATACCTGCCTACAACATTTTCTTCATTTTACTCTATTTATTTACTTCATTTATTTAACTGTACTGTTTGCCCAAAGCACTAAGCAAAGTAACTTTCTGGGAAGCGAGAAGTAAGGTTTTTTTAACCTAATCTTAAATGAAAAATCTGACTGCTTTAATAGAAACAGAAAGCTAGAAACAGGATTATCAGCACAAAATTCAGATAAACATGGTATCTTAAGTGAAAGGAGAAATTTACAGCCTATTTCAAAATTTCAGGAAGATGGCTTTTCCTTGGACTGTTCTAACATTCCAAGTTTGTGGCCTTCTTTAACACTTCTGAGGAGACTCAAAGGTTCAGGGAAACCATTTTATTAAATTTTCAGACTTGTTACAAGTCATGAAGTTGTTCAACTATGAAATAATCCAAAGGAAAAAACAAACAGCTCCCTGAAAAGTTTATGTCTGCTCTCCATAATTTTATGATACAAAGACCTAAAATGATTCTAGTCTAGGCTATAATGTTTTTAAAGATTTCTCTTAATTCTTGTGGGATGCATTTTAAATGGTATTACCAGAGTAACATAAGTTTAAAAGTTAAAGAAAAAGTAAATATCTGTCCAAAATGTCCATTAAAGGCAATATTTATTGATTTTATAGTTTTAAAACATTATACCATTTACCTTCAAAATCCACATCTCCAACCAACTTGGGTTTAGCAGTTATGGGATCTTGAATTCTATTTATTCCCACGTCAATGACTGCAGCTCCTTCCTTGATCATATCTGCTGTGATCAGATTGGGAATGCCTGGTAATGGAGGTATGAATGATCAATTTACTACGAAAGAAGATTCCACCTGTCAGACTTGTATCTACTTTCAATTGCAAGAGACTTGGAAGAACTAATTAGCTTGTTTTGTAAAAACCTATAAAAACTATTAACCAAGGAACCATTTCAACTTCACATAGTAAATAGAAATATTCCAAGGCTTTAGAAATAACATTCATCCATCAAGTCTATAACAGAATGCCAGAAACCAATATTCCAACCACAACTCTCTCCTCACCTTTGTAGGCAGTTCACAGTATCATTCTTAGGGGTAGGATGAATGGAATGGCAGTGAGGCAGGCAAATTCTAAGAGAAGCGGTCCATTCTCACCCTTCTGAGGTGATGTCCTTCTGTCCCCCTCCCAGGTGTTCTTACCTGCAGCGGAGACCACAATATCTGCAAGAATGGTATGTTTCTTCAGCTGCTCTTTGGGAGTGTATCGGTGAGATATTGTAACCGTGGCATCACCTACAAGTTAAAAAATCGATATCTTGATCTCTGAATCAAAGCTGAATTGGATTAGGTCTCAACTAGTCAAACTATTGTAGGAATTCAACATCTCTGAAAAAATAATTGACTTAATTCATGTGCCATATTTTCTGGGCAGCTAACTGCCATTTACTCTTTAAAAATTAATACCCAATTTTTTTGTAACTTTTACCCATTGGTCCTAGCTCCACCCTTTGGAGTCATATATAATGAAATTTATTCCTTATACTATTTAACAGACTTTCAAGAATTTTACCTTTTCTAAGTAAAATATCACTAGAATTTCTCAAGGTTTTTTGAAAAAAAAAAAAGTGTGCTGAAAGATATGTGGAAATACACAGTCTTGCCATTATATCTGATATAATCATGTAAGGTCACATCATGATAATCACATGTGATAACTAATCTATGAGACTTTTCCTCAGACAAATTAACAGAACTCGACACAATGACACAGAACTCGACACAATGACACATTACAGTCATATCAGTTCAATCTTTTGCAATGGTCTAAGATTTTTTCTACCAAATGACACAGAACAGGATACTGACTTTGAATAAGACCTGCTTCTTACTCTAACTATCAACGCCATAACTGAAAATTTCTAATTGTCTACAACCACGTTTATACTCAAAACGCAAATTTACTTCTCAGGTATATCCATTTCTGAACTAGTTCCATAATAAATGAATTTAAGTAAACTCTCAGGTGACACTGAGTACAGCTTCTCCTACCAAGATTATTCCCCGAATATCTGTTCAAGTTACAACAAATACCAAGTTTAACAAAGTTAACACTTCCAAACATCCAAGGACAGTCTCTGAAGGTTCTCACATAAGGGAGAAGACCCTTCTCTGAAAGCAATTTCCTTACCTCCAGGACGTTCATGCGCCCCATCTGTGTGTAGTAACATTGCAATGGGCATTCCAACATTTTTTGATCTTCCAGCCACAACCACATTCTGCCCTAGGGTTGGAATGCCTATGAAAAAAAATATATATTTGCATTAAAAGCAGTGCCAGACTGTCTTAGAATGGGCACCAAACGAAAAGGAAGGCAGACGGCCTAGGATGTGAATCTAATTGTCATAATGAAGGAAGTCACTAAGCTTCAGTCAGTTGGACCTGTCACTTACTACTACAAAATGTTATATGAATGTGCACTATCACCACTATTAAAGCTTACATTTCCTTCACTGAGGTTTCTGTATTAAACAGCAAAAACAGTCACAGGCAACTGCTAAGAGAGGAAGGCTCTGAGGGACAGGACTAAAGGTCATGGGTAGGAGTTCCTGCTCTTTGCTACTGCATGAATTTTTAACATTTGCAAGTACTACTTTACTAACACAGACATACGACTATGGGATATACCTACCAGTTCGCTTAATTATTTCCCACACACCCCATGGGGTAGCCGGTAACATGGAACACTGGTCTAAACACATTCGCCCTACGTTAATTACATGAAAGCCATCAACATCCTTGTCTGGAGAAACAGCATTGCAGATCTTTCTCTCATCAATGTGCTCTGGAAAAGAAATCAGGGCAGCAGCTTTAAGTCACTGCTGCGTAGTGAGCTCTGCTTGACTTCAGCTTATCTGGTTTGTCGCACAAACCCATTCCCCTTCTACAACCTGCCTCCACAATTTACGTCATCATCTGCACAGAAGGAACACACATCAAGCCAAGCCAAACACCAATATCAAAGCCAATATCCTCTTGTACAGCTGCCTCCCTCCACTCTGCTTTGTATCAAGATCTCAATACCAAATCATGGAGTAATTGGTATTGAGTGGTCTGTCCCGTATCTAATCAAATACTCCTCTCTTGAGTTTACCTCCCCTTTAAGTCAAATCCACACGAGGGGCTGGGTATATACAGTAACCAAGCCTCTCCACTCCTCAGAAATCATTTTAAATGGTAGAGTCCAACTCACCTGGAAGAGGCAGCTGAACAAGGAGGCCGTCTACATTATCATCATTATTTAGGTTATTGATTAAATTCAACAGTTCTTCCTCTGAAATTGAAGCTGGTTTCACAATTGTCTCACTGTTGATTCCTATAAGAAAATTTTAAGCTTAAAAAAAAAATTGAGGCATTTAATGAGCAATGCTCATTAAATGCTATGTTGCCTGCCACGGTCTTCTACCATAGAGGTTTTTTATTATCACACCTGCCCCGGTAGCTGAAAAGTTTGAATGGTTCACAAGGAACGTAAAAAAGTAACCTCACAAATATATACACGAGAGAATGCTAGCTTGACACTTTCTATACATTATTTTACGCAATCCTCATCAACTTCATTCTAAGGACAAGGAGACTCGAGGCTTAGCGAAATTGAAACATAAGCCAGCTAGTAATGAAGCCAATCTCTCCAGTCCCAAAGTCCCTGTTCTTTCCACTGCACCATCCTACCTCCCACTGTCTTAAAAAGCCATAGCTTGCTATTTTCTAGAGGTTCTAAAGATTTTTCAATGAAAATGACAGGAGGCCTCAATCCTCAGTGATAAAGAATACAGTGTTCTATTCAAGGGCTCACAGTGCAGTAACACTGCCCAGCCAGCCAGGGGTTTCACAGCCCTTCAGAAGGGCAGGGCACCCGGCCCTTAGACGACTGAGCCCCAGATGAGAGGGCAGAGGCCCAGCTGAGCCCACCCACCTCTAGTCTACCATCACACGGAGTCTGTGGTATAGCAAGATCTAGACCACAAACCTCCCATCACCCAGACCCCACGTCTTCTGCATTCAAAATCCAACCTCTTCTAAACTGTGTGATTTGATTGGCTTTGGAACCAAATGGTGGAGAAATCAAAAGCTATTTCCCAGAAGTCAGAGTCATTTCCTTCAAATCTATGACTGTGCTCTAGGCCACATCACTGAGGTCTCCTCAATCAAATGCTCAAAAGTTCTGTCGGAGATTCTCATTGGTGCTCACGGAAAGCACATGTACACTGTGCTCAAGGTCAGCTGTCAAATGTTAAGACTAAGGACAGAAATTAGCTTACATTCCAAAAGACACCGAGAATATCAACCATATTCCTTCTGTCCTAGTCCCCAGTAGATACAGCCTAATATCTTTATGACAAAATTTTAGATACAGTCCAATCCCACTAGCTTCCTCTGCTTGGGTTTTCTAATCAGAAAAAGGAATAACGAATTACAAGGGGGTCTGCCTCAGCCAAGCCTCAATGTCACAGCAGTCGGGATCTGAGAGTGACACATACCCACATCTGCAGCTGCCTTGGTTTTGTTGAGGACATAGGAGTGACTTGCAGGATTCTCGCCGATCAGGACCACGCTCAGGTGGGGCCGTTTGTTGCCTGATGCCACCCACTCTTCAACCTCCTGCCGCACTTCCTGCTTGATCTGCTGGGCAAGTTTCCTTCCAGAAATGACAACAGCTTCATTTCTGCAGAAGGCAACAGAGTCACAAAACCAAATAGCTTAAAGTTTTGTGAAAAGTAAAGATCAGACTACAAAAAAGTGTTATTAAATACCCAAAACTTCAAGTTTAGATTAAAATACATGGTGCCTAATCTAAGAGACAAAGGAAATCGGAAGGACAAGTTCAAAGTGGTAAGTCTGTGTCCAGCTCCATGTTTAGAAGGATCAAATTGATTGAAATAGTTACTATCATTGATCTGAAGCTCAGAGTGTTTAAATAACTGACGGCTAGTACTTGGCGAATCTGGGTTGCATGTCCAGCTCTGTCTGAATCCAGATTCTGGACTTCTAATGCTCTACCACCCTGCCTCCTGATCACTGACAGACAGGCCAAAAAAACCCTCTCATTGTTTTATTTGACCCCTCACCATGAGGTTAAGTAGTCTTTCCTATACGCTTACGTACCATTTGTAGTTCGTGTTTTGCCTGTGTTGTTAGCATCCAGTCATATGTTTCAAATCATTTCCCAGTTAGTCATTGGCTTTTAATTTTTATGATGCTTTAAAATATATAAATTATGTTATACAGTTAAACCAATAAACAATTGGTTTAACAGGTTAAACCTCAAGATGCCTACTGCTCCCCACAGCCCCTCTGGGGAAGACTCTCCTGGTAAGAACAAGGAAAGAGGGGGACTAGAGGAGGTTCCATCTCAGAGGTGGCAGTGCTCTACCCCGGGACCCCACTGGCCTATCCACAGCTGACAGACCAGGAGTGAGGATCTGACTCAAGGACAACAGTCTCTAGGCAGGCCAGCAGTTGGCTCTAGACCAGTAAGAGCTTCTCTCCAAACCACATTCATACACTAGAACCACAAAGGACCTCTTCATGGGAGGAGCAGAAGACAGACAGAAAAAAGCTGAGACAGAGAGAATAGCAGTCACTTGCACGGTAGACAGAGTAAGGGATAAGAAAACTGCTGCTAGGGGTGGGACAATGAGAAAACTCAGAATCTAGAAGAACCTCCAGTTCCCAAAACCATGTTCAGATCTCCAAAAGGCTCTCTCTTCCCAATAAGAACTGGTTATGCAGCTCCTCCTGGGTTCCAGTGTGGAAGATTCCTGGTTTTCTTATTTCCACACATGTCCTTACAATTAAGTTCCCATCACTTAAGGTAGGACAAGTATCTGTTCCTTTAGCAAACAGATCCCACTGAAAACAAGTCTTTCCCTTTAGGTTTCTGTCCTCAGTATCATGAGGAATGCTCCAACCTCAAGATCAATGAAACATACAATTGTTTGAAATATTGGAACAATTTCCCCTCATAGCACATATTTAATTCTCAGGGATAACATCAAGGTACTGGATATCTTGTATGGTCAGATATGATTCATTCTCAAGCCCACTGTTAATTCAAATGGAATTTTAAAGCTTTAACAGTCTTCAAGCCTCAATGCCTGCTTTTTATTTCCATTATGATTAATACCTACTTTAAACCAGATCTCAATGTCTTAGGTAGAATGTGGTAATTTTATACCCAAACCTTATATTAATCTGTATTTGCATCTTGGAAGGTATTAGGAAGACATCATAATTTTATAGCAAACCAAATATTTTCACCCAGATTTTAAGTAATGTTACTAGCATAGCAAAAAATATATAATAGCATTTCATATATACCTATGGTATATTAAGGAATTGAAAACTTGTTAATATTTACAAACCCATTTCAGAATTAGAGTTGAAAGGGACTTCATTAAAGGGCTTTGCTGTTACAAATACCTCAGCAATATTCCTGATCTACATTACATATCAGTACCAGGAATATTTGTCCCAGGGCAGAAATACATTCCTAATCATGCAACACTATAGAGTGAAAGACTACTTACAAAGGGTTTAGGTCAGTCATTTATATTGAATGAAATAACATATATAAAGTGCCAGGCACATATATTCAATAAAAATTAATTTCTTACTCTCTTTTGTTTGATTTATACACACACACACATACATATATATTCTTAATATATGATAGATATATTTGTCTATTTATATACTCATAAGGATATACATATAAATATTCAGTGAGGAGGACTTACATTGCATTCATTAAAAAGTTTCTTTTGAAAGCAATAAACTTAGAGAAAATGGTAGCAGCACATTTGGGCTAAGAATGATATACTAAAGTTAAGGACACAGGGTTCTGGGAGAACCCAGTGTTCCAAGTCCCAAAGGCAGGTTCTGGATGTTATGCCAATTTTCTTTAAAAAAAAAAAAAAACTGTCAAAGAGTAACAAGAACCCAAACAAAGCCACAATGCAATGAACATCTTTCATAATATAACTGTTTTAGCCCTCTTCTGCTTACCACAGAAAATGTGAAAAACAGTGCTATGAATGAGTTATTACTAAATTTCCCATCATCTTTTTTGCCAAAGGGCAGATAAAGTAACTGCTACCCCAAAATAAACAGAAATGTAGACTCAGCTCAGTCCCACAGGGAATCCCAAACTTATTAGCTAACATTTAGGAATTAAATGCTTTCACAGGTGTTTAGAAACACTTCCATTAAAATTATGAAACAACAGACTATAAAGAAGTCAAGAGGATTGTTCAAATAAAATTCAAAGCTAAAACTCCAAGTCTATAGCAACTTCACTTTCCCCCTAATTCAATAGCTTACAGTACTGAAATTTCCCATGAAAAATTAATATCAGGTGCATTTTACAATTCATGATCAGGTTATTTTGGAAAGAGTTCTGTCATCTACTAATTAATGGAACCAGTAATGAGTGAAGAAAGACACAAAGGGGATGAAACTAACATCTATTAAACACTAGGTATTTTCGTAAGAGTTTTACATACATTATTCTCAGTTACTTGGGTACTATTATAATAACACTGTTATACAGAAGGGGAAACTGAGGACAGTAGAAACAAGAGTCAAATGCAAACCTCTGCCTCCAAAGTCCATTTTTCCCTATTCCCCACAGTCTCCTAGACTATAGTAAGTACTATCTTTCTAACCATGAGTTTATGTTCCTGAAACCCTCACATCAACTCCCCTCCCCCCAAAAAAGGTAGACATGTGAACTCATATTTTTAAAAAGATATTGTTCTTTCACATTTACCAGCCAGCAGTGATCAAAGCAATACAAGGAAACCAAATGTAGTATTGCCTTCAGAGATGTGCAAGTCCACTTGCTCATTCTGAAAGGCAAGTGAAAGGAGGGCATTTGTTACTGGAGAGTGAGCAAGCTGGTCTGGTTCTTTAGGTAATGAATTAGAGGATCTTCATATATCTCTCTTCAATCATGAAAGCCACAGGCACATGTGGCCAGAACTCAGGAAGGGGGAAGAGAGAGGAGAACAGATAGTAGCCAGAGACGGTAAAAGCAGGTCAGGGTCAGACCAAGAAAAGCCTTGAGTGTCCCCTCCCAAGTCTTCTTTCAAGAATGCATTAATTCACATTCTCTGCTCCACTAGCACCTTAGCAGTGTCTCTAACAGCATTTTTACACTGAGTGGAAATCACACACGTGTTCTTCCCCTCGACAGGTCTGTGAGTTCCACTAAGGAAATCATCTCTGAATTCGCACAGCCTAGCACAGTGCCTGGCTAAAAGAGAAGGCTGCTATCACAAGGCTTAGGTATCTGGCAATGCCAAGTCTCTGATGAGAAACCTGGGTCATAGTGGTTTAAGTTCTGCGCACTCTGCTTCGGCAGCCTGGGTTCACAGGTTCGGATCCCCAGCACAGACCTACACCACTTGTCCGCCACGCTATGCTGGTGACCCACATACAAAACAGAGGAAGATTGGTAACAGACATTAGCTCAGGGCAAATCTTCCTCTTTTTGCTAGTTCAAGCAAAAAAAGAGGAACACTGGCAACAGATGTTAGTTCAGGGAGAATCTTCCTCAGCAAACTAAATAAATAAATAAGAAAGGAGAAACAGGGTGCACAGAGAGAAATCACAGCCCGCCCCCCGTCCCCCACCCTTCAACCTAAGCTTAAGAATGGGAATTTGAGGTCCAGAAAGATCAGGCAATACCTGTTACCTATTACCTCCCTATGGAAACGCAACTTCCCTTCTCCTCCCGGGTATTTATCACCTCAATTTACTCAGCCTGGCACTGACCGGCTCGGAGTGGGCTGCAGTTAAATCCCTGTGGCACATTTATTCTCCCGAGAGGGCAAGGGGCCGCTAGAAGAGCAGCGCAAGCCACGCCCACCTGCCGGAGGAGGGAAGCGCCGGCAAGCCGCTCCGGGATTTCATCAGATTGCACCAACGCCCTCTGCCGCTAGGGTCCCAGGAAGGACGGCTCACTGAAGGCTGCTCCTTCAGAACCCTTCCCGGCGCTCGCCAAAGCGTCTCCTCTGCTTTCCCCAAGACGGCTCTCGGCAGCCGAGAGTGCCCGACAGGCTCTGGCTGGTTACCTCCATACGCTCCCACGTAAGTCGGGGCGCCCCAGAGCCCGCTTGCGCCTTCGCTCCGCACTGTGGGCTCCGTCCCGCCGGCGGACTGGCTCCGAGACAGGGCGACGCCCCGAGCATGCGGGAGACCGGCTCCCTGCGAAAGGGGGGCTCCCGGTACCAGCCCACCCCGCCCAGCGAGCGCCCAGGTCGCAGGCTGCGGCCGCGCTCGGCTGCCACGTCGCCCCACCACACCTCTCCCGGTGGCCACCACCGCTCGGAACGGAGATGCTCAGGAAGGATGTCCCTAGGCGCCCCGCCTTCAGTTCCCCTCAGCTTTCGGCGCTGACCCAGCTCCCTAACCCGCTTACCGAACTGTCGAGAGGTGGAAGGGGCGATGGCGGAGGCGACAGCTCTGCGCGGGCCGGAGCAGCCGCTTGGCCAACGTGGACACGAACGAAGCAACAGCCATGGCCCGCGCCGGTATCCTCGCCGGGAGACAAGCGCGCGCGCGCGCGGGTCGCGCAGTTATACCGAAGCCGCGAGGCAGGCCCCGCCTCCCGCCGGCACCCATTGGTCCTTGCCCAGTAAAGCCCTGCTTGTGATTGGAGCAAGAAGAGCCAGGAGCGAGGCCCTGGAGGGCGCGGCAGCCTCAGTAGCATACTGTGATTGGCTGAGGACGGCAAGCCCTTGCCAGACGCTGCCGGTGTCACGGAAGTCCGGCCAACCCGAGCGCGAGTTTGTTCATTCATTGCTTGAACAAATATATCTGAGCGCCTACTGTGTGCTAGGGACTGACTGTAAAGAGTGGACGAAAAGGCAGAATACCCACTAATAAATGTAGAAAAATGATAGCGTTAGAAAATAACTATTTGGCAAAAATGATTTTTTTAAAAAAATTGATTCAGAATCATCAATAGATGTCAAAACTACCGGGTGAAGTTAGATGAGGAACAAAATATTTACATATAAGGTTGCCAGATCTTGCAAATAAAAATACAAGACGCCCAATTAAACTTGAATTTTAGATAAATAATTTGGGAGGAGGGTCATACTTATACTAAAAAAGTATTTGTTGTTATCTGAAATTCAAATTAAACTGGGCTTCCTATATTTTATCTGGCCACCCTATTTGCATAGTCTCAAAGTATCTCTCCCACAAAATACCTATTAACAGCAAAGGAGGAAACGGTAAATTTACAGTGGAGAAACCTGACAGTCATCCCCTTAAACAAGTGATCAAAGTTACCACCACCAATAATGGGACAACACACCCATGTGCCCCCAGATATGCATTGAGGAGGACACATCACTTCATAGCTCTTAAGTCTGAAAATTGAATGAAGTGATTTTCCATTGAGTCCCCTAAAAAATGTTACAGATTTCTCATTTACACATTGAGAGGAGAGATTACAGACCTGGAGGAACGTTAAACAGTTCAGGAAAAAGCCATATTCCTGAAACTTTTGACTGTACTAGCAGATTGTAATCTAAACACAAAGAAATATCAGACAAGCCCCAAATGAGAGACATTCTACAAGAAAAGCAGCCTGTACTTTTCAAAAATGCCAGTCATGAAAGACAGAGAATGAGGAACTGTTCTAGATTAAAGGAGTCTAGACATAACAATTTAATGCGTGATTATGAACCAAAACATTTTTTTCTTTCTTTTTCATTTTCCCTTTTTTCCCTTTATCTTTTTTGCTATAAAGGACATTATAGAACAATTGGCAAAATATTAATGAAGTCTGTAGATCAGCTAACAGTATGGTATCAATGTTTATTTCCTGATTTAGCTAATCATATTGTGGTTATGTAAAAGAATGTACTTGCTTTTAGAGATAAAAGGACATCATGTCTGCCACTTACTTTCAAATGGTTCAGAAAAGGGGCCAGCCCCGTGGCTTAGCGGTTAAGTGCGCGCGCTCCGCTGCTGGCGGCCCGGGTTCGGATCCTGGGCGCGCACCGACGCACCGCTTCTCCGGCCATGCTGGGGCCGTGTCCCACATACAGCAACTGGAAGGATGTGCAGCTATGACATACAACTATCTACTGGGGCTTTGGGGGAGAAATAATTAAATAAATAAAATCTTTAAAAAAAAAAAAAGGTTTAGAAAAAAATATATATATATATATAACATAGCATAACATAATATAAATATTAGTTCGCTAGGGCTGCCGTAACAAAATACCACAGACTGGGTGGCTTAAACAACAGAAATTTTTTTTCTCCCAGTTCTGGAGGCTGTAAGTCCAAGTTTAAGGTGCCAGCAGGTTTGCTTTCTCTTGAGCCCTCTCTCCTTGACTTGCATATGGCTGCCCTCTCGCTGTCCTCACATGGCCTTTTCTCTGTGGTAGCACACCTCTGGTGTCTCGCGCTGTGTCTTAATCTCCTCTTATAAGAACATCAGTCAGATTGGATTAGGACCCAGTCTAACCACTTCATTTTAACTTTATTACCTTTTTATTTATTTATTTTTATTTTTTATTTTTTGTGAAGAAGATCAGCCCTGAGCTAATATCCGTGCTAATCCTCCTCTTTTTGCTGAGGAAGACCGGCTCTGAGCTAACATCTATTGCCAGTCCTCCTCCTTTTTTTCTTTTCCCCCCCAAAGCCCCAGTAGATAGTTGTATGTCATAGTTGCCCATCCTTCTAGTTGCTGCATGTGGGATGCAGCCTCAGCATGGCTGGAGAAGCGGTGCGTCGGTGTGCGCCCAGGATCTGAACCCGGGCCACCAGTAGTGGAGCACGCGCACTTAACCGCTAAGCCACGGGGCCAGCCACTTTATTACCCTTTTAAAGGCTGTATTTCCAAATACAGTCACATTCTAAGGTACTACGGGTTAGGGCTTCAACATAAGAATTGGGGGGGGGGGGCACAATTCAGTCCATAACAATGTATACACATAAAGAAAAACTGAAAAAGCATATGGCAAATGTAACATATTAACAACTGGGAAATTGGGTGAAGAGTATATAAGGATTCTTTGAACTTTTCCTGCAATATTTCTGTGTATCAGAAATTATTTCAAAATTAAAAAAAAAGACCAGTAAGATTTCTGCCCTCATGGCACTTGCGGGGTAAGGCACAGTGAACAAGAGAAGAAACTAAGAAAAAGAATTCGATACTGAGAACCCTCAAGATAGCAGATGTGAAAGGTTGTATAGGTCAGAGCTTATCCCACAGGTCATATGACTGGGGATGATGACTTGCAAAGCCCATCCCCAGCAAGCCGTGGTAAGCAGGGCCTTACAGTGACTTGGACCTTGCAGCAGCGGCTGCGAAGAGGGAAAGGAACCAGATGCGCCCAGATTTTAAGATACCTAATCCTCTCAACACTGAAAATTTTGGAAATTCTCTTTTCCCAAAATGTGAACTCTCAAGAGTGAAACCATGAGAAACTATTATAATATTTTTAATAAGCTTAACAAAAGGATTTGCTTCTATGTTCCCACACTATTATGTTGAAATATCATTTGTTTAACAAAAATACTTTATGCTCCAAGTTGTAATCCAAATTCTGTGAAGTGAAGGGGCTCAGGCCCCAACTAGCCTTTTGTACCTCCTCTCTCTTTGCTCTGCCCTCCACTCAGCACATCCTGTACTTCTACCCAGTGTTTGGTCCCTCCTCTCGCTGCTCCCAAGAACCACTGCTACTCATCCCTCAAGGCTGCACCTCAGACTGCTGGACTTAAAAGCTTTGCCTGTAGGCCTCCATTTAAGTGGTCCCAAAGGTTTCACTGACACATAAGGCAGAATCAGGACCACATAAAGGCAAAACCATGTTTGTTGCTGCAACACAATACGGATAGGCAGAATGAACTGCCCTTTCCTCTGTGCTATCACAGCAGATAGGAATACTCCGATTCCAGCCCTCAGAAGAACATCTTGATATTATTTGTGCACCTGTCTATCTCCCCCAATATGATGTGGGCTTATCTAATCAAGACAATTCATATCTTATGATTCATTTCATTCATGAAAGCACAAAGCATATGACTAAGCATCTATTAAAAATCATTCTGATAAGAGCTAATCTTTACTGAACACTTACAATATGTCAGGCACTGTTTTAAGCACTTTGTGTATATTGTCCTATTTAATTCTCACAATTACCCCAGGAGGTAAGTGCTATTGTTATCTCCATCTTACAGATGGGGGAAAGGAGGCACAGGAGATTTAAGGAACCTGTCCAAGTTCACAGAGCTAGTAAGGGGAAGGGCAGGGATGCAACCCAGAGCCACTGGCTCCAGAGCCCATGCTCTAATATTTGCTACCATTTACTGAGCACTTACTCTGTGGCAGGCACTGGGTTCCAAATCATCTCCTTTAATCCCAACAACCCTGTGAGGTAGGTATTATGTTCCCCATTTGAGATGAAAGAACTGAGACTCAGAGAGACCACTTGCCTGAAGTCACTCTCCCAGCAAGATGAGGCTGGCTCCACCCCCAGACAGGCCTGACTTGAAAACCTGCACCTAGCCCTCCACTCCATGTGGGCCTGAATGTTTCACAGACACTGAAGGAAGAATCTGGACCACACACAGACAAAATCACTTAAAATTACAAAAGGATGAGAAAAAATAGTTGGGTAGGGGAGGCCACAGTGGTGAAACCCACAGAGTTGGCAGCTAAACTACAACAGTCTTCCACACCTGGAAGGAACCACAGAGCTTAAGAACTCCATCCCATTCCACCACTGGTCAAACTTCCATTATAAATGACTAACTTGAAGAAATCAAGGAACCTTTATCATCTCAGAGCACTTTCTAAGTAAGGATTATGCCGGACACTGAAGTTTCACCTCTTGTAACCTGGAGCTTATAATTAGTTTATATGCACCAGGATAGCCATTGCAGTTGTGAAAATATTGAAATATTTCTGTACCAATTGATAAAACCTGCTCTCCCAAGCGCCCTGAGTGTCTACCACACCCTAGGACTCCTTCCTAGGGAAGTTAATATTGACGCCTGGACCACGACTCTGCTTCCACACTAGACCAGCTGGGGCCACATCTATTCATTCCAGATTCCCTGAATTTCTCTCATTTCAGAACATACTAATTCCTAGCCAACATGCCTTCTATTTCAATAACACCGAAGTAGACAGCACTAAATCAAGACAGCCCAGTCTCTGGAACACCCAGCCAGAGAGCTATGCCTTTTTTCTTACTATAAAAGCAATTTATGTTCTTTGTTTAAAATACACACACACACACACACACACACACACACACACACACACACACACACACACACACAGAGGAAACTACAAAAAAGACTAAGAAGTAAAGTCAAAATGACATCCACTGCATCAACAATCAGAGACACTCAGGATTGGATAAATGGCATTGTACTTCGAATTAAGGAAATAAAGTCAAATAAGAGGCAAACTCGTACTAATAGGGTTTCTAGTTAGCGGGATAGAACACAAATCAGGTTAGCATTTGGGTGGATAAGAGACACAGGTATGCCCAGGTGCCTCTGGAGGGCTTAGTGGGGGGACCC